CGCACACATGCACGCACACGCACACATGCACACGCATACATACACACACAAATACATACACACACACTAATATATATATATATATATATATATATATATATATATATATATATATATATATATATATATATATATATATATATATATATATATATATATGTCGTGCCGAATATGTAAAACTGGTCATTTAGCAAGAACTCATTTAAAATTAAGTCCTTTCTAAAATTTTCTCTTATACGTTTAAAGATACATTTTTTTCATTAATGTTGATGTAAAAAATTATAATTTTGCACCAAAAGGAACTTAGAAAACTTACCTAACCTTATTATAAAAAGCGCAATTTATTTTAACCTAACCCAACTAAATATATTTTAAATACGTCTACAATAATTTAGTACTAAACAAACACAATCAAATATATTTTTTTCGTTAGGTTCAGAATGATTTTGGCGAAATTGTTGCATACACAAATTTTCACTTGTCCTATATGGCAAGATGAGCGTTGCTATTTAAGCCAAGATCGCAAGTTCTGCCTATTCGGCACGACATATATTATATATATACATATTATATATATATATATATATATATATATATATATATATATATATATATATATATATATATATATATTTATATATATATATATATATATATATATATATATATATATATATTTATATATATATATATATAATATATATAATATATATATATATATATATATATATATATATATATATATATATATATATATATATATATATATATATATATATATATATATATATATATAATGTGCCGAATAGGTAAAGTTGGTCAATTAGCAAGAACTCATTTAAAATTAAGTCCTTTCTAAAATTTCTATTATACGTTTAAAGATATATTTTTTCATTTATGTTTATGTAAATAATAATAATTTTGTGCCAAAAGAACCTTTGAAAACTTACCTAACCTTATTATAACAAGCGTAATTTAATTTAGCCTAATCCAACTAAATATATTTTAGGTAAGTTTACAATAATTTAATAATAAACAAAGAATGAAATATATTTTTTTTTCGTTATGTCCAGAATGATTTTTGCGAAATTATTACATACACAAATTTTCGTTTGGCATATTCGGCAAGAAGAGCGTTGCTATTTAAGCCAAAATCGCAAGTTTTACCTATTCAGCACGACATATATATATATATATATATATATATATATATATATATATATATATATATATATATATATATATATATATATATAAGAACATTTTGCAAGTAACCTAACATTAGTTAAACCGGTGACATGCTACTTGCAGCTCGTCTCTAGCCTCTACTGGCGGCTATTCTAGTCTCTTATTTTTACGTGAGCCTAGTGTCCACAGCTATCATTAGTTCAGCCTTGCTTCACTTTATATATATAAGTTCACTTACACACATCTATCACAGTCTAAAGTGGCTACACCATTTCTCTTACTATATATCGCGTGAAGATACATCTCTCCATAATTTATACATAAAAAAAATCCAGTCAGGATTAAAGATAATTTTGATAATTTCAATAATTTCAATTGTAATTATATTAGCAGAGAAAAGGTTATTTGATGCTATGAACGTTTTCTATGTGGATTATATATATATATATATATATATATATTATATATATATATATATATATATATATATATATATATATATATATATATATATATATATATATATATATGCGGAAAAAAAAACCACGGGGAGAGTTGAATGATAGCTCTAGGCCTTTGGTGTTGCAAACAAGATATCGGAGCGCTTGCAATGCTGCAGAAATGAGTAGTAAGTCCAAGCTGATTCGTTCAGGGAAACGTTCTAGCTCGAATGAATCTACCTGGACTTCCTACTCATTTCTGCAACATTGCAAGCTCCTGATGATGTATTGATTTCAACACGAAATGCCTAGGGCTATCATTCAACTATCACAGTGGTTGTTTTGCGCATATATATATATATATATATATATATATATATATATATATATATATATATATATATATATATATATATATATATATATATATATATATATATGAACCAACTTGTATTACTGAGTTCTTAAAACATTTTCTAAAATACAGTAAATTTAGCAACATACAACTTGTAAACAACAGTGGACACCTGTAAACAACTGTATCTTCAACAAGTGTCATGTATTATACATCTGCCAGTGATGTATTACACCGTAAACACCTCCCCCAAAAAATACACATCCCTAGACACTTGAAAACAGAGATATACATATTTGAAAGTTTATATTGCTCATGTGTAAAAATTTGTTTTTACAATCGCTTACAAACATGCATATGTTTTTTTTTTAAATAATACACACTCGTAAATAATAGTATTAATAAACAATGGAAATAAAGTTGTGTAAATGTTCATGACTTGTAAACAATAGTCTACATCTAGGTAAACAATTTATAAATACACTCTGCAAGTAGACTAGGTTTTCCACCCAATAAGTTGCAACTTAATTAATGTTATATTTAGCTGTATTTATTGCCTCTATGCATAAATACAGCTGTGGCACTTGTAATACAACGAATTTATGTTTGATTTATAACCCACACACACAAAATAATAATTAATAATAATACTAATAATAATGATTATTAATATTACTTTTAAAAATAAGTATATTTAGTTATTATTATTATTTGGGGAGTATTAAACCCTTAAGATCACACAGCGGTGGGACTGAGAGGTAATCAGGTTTAATCCGAGGAATTGATATCAAGGCGCCCCTTAATAATAATAAAATAATAATAGGTAACATTTATTTTGGTGCTCTACTGAATTTTCCATAAATTTGTGATCGAATTTTTATAATATTTCTTGATCTGTGCTCTGGAGGTAGTTTGATTTTGTGCTAACTGGGGAAAAAATAGCAGTTTTTCGTAATATTTTGGCTCAAAAATCAACATAGAAGCCCCGTAACCTAATGTATCCTAACGTAACCTAACCTAACCCAACCAGACCCATCCAAACGTAACCTAATGTATCCTAACGTAACCTAACCTAACCAAACCAGACCCATCCAAACGTAACCTAATGTATCCTAACGTAACCTAATCTAACCCAACCAGACCCATCCAAACGTAACCTAATGTATCGTAACGTAACCTAACCTAACCCAACCAGACCCATCCAAACGTAACCTAATGTATCCTAACGTAACCTAACCTAACCCAACCAGACCCATCCAAACGTAACCTAATGTATCCTAACGTAACCTAACCTAACCCAACCAGACCCATCCAAACGTAACCTAATGTATCCTAACGTAACCTAACCTAACCCAATCAGACCCATCAAACCCAATCTAACGTAACCTAACCTTGTGCAACCCAACCTAGCTTAAGTAAGCCTAACCTAACCCAACGTAACCCAACCAAACTTAGCCTAACCTAATCTAACCTAACCTTACCCACTAAGTAACTAATCAACACTGGTATTTATATTTACCGTGAAGTTGCAGTGACGCCTGTCTTCTCCACTGAAGTTGCGATGGATAATTGTCTTCTCCACTAAAGTTACAAAGGACGCCTGTCTTCACCAAAGTTACAAAGGACGCCTGTCTTCACCAAAGTTACAAAGGACGCCTGTCTTCACCAAAGTTACAAAGGACGCCTGTCTTCACCAAAGTTACAAAGGACGCCTGTCTTCTCCACCAAAGTTGCAGATTTTGGCTTAAAATGTTGAGACTCGGGAGACATTGCTCTGGTGTTGGTATTATTGGAACTGTTTACCTCACTGGCCCGGTGAGTCACGTGACTGTATGCTACTCGCTGATTGGCTGACTGTCCTGTCTATTTTGGCACATACATTTAAACTCCCATAAAAATAATCTTGTTGTTAATAACTCCCCAAAAAACAATTTGCACAAGAAATGACTATTTTTGCCGGGCTATAGATAGAGTCTTTGTGTTTTAAAATGTAAATAAAAAGTTTGCTCATCCGAGCCCCTAAAATAAATATTAGCCTAATAATAATAATGACACTAATAATAGTAACGAGAATAATAATAATAATAATAATAATAATAATAATAATAATAATAATAATAATAATAATAATCTGAACAGCATTAAATATTTTCAATATTCAACAAACATTTCATAATACTCATTTATATTTATACATGCTAAAAACTACCACCACTTTTATATTTTTAATACAGTAATATACAGCAGGTAATAAAGCCATTCCAACAACATTTTTGATAGGGGGTGTGAAGGATTGTATTTTTTTTATATAATACAATATACAAGTGTAACAACAGAGGACCAAGTGTACTCTCACGTGGGAGTCCTGACGTAGCAGTATTACTGCGGAGTCCTTTTTCTTCTTGGGTATGTACCTTGTAATTAGGTTTAAGCTTGTCCTCAGACCATACTTACGTTTTTCAACGCTTCTCACATCCACAGTGTATCGTATGTTCGTTCAACTTGCCCTACCAGCAGATGTAGTCCTTCTTATTTATGAATTTTTCGCGACTAAATTTAGTGAATTTAGGCCTGGTCTGGGACCGAGTGGGAGGACTAACGACTCCCAGAATCTACATCAGTTAGATTAATTAACGTTATAAGACGTAGTTGAACGTAATTTAAAGGTAGAAATTAGCATAAGGAAGGACTGGATCTGGTGGAATCATGGGCCGAACAATAGGAAGGTTAGTGAATATCTTGAATGTGCGAAAATACAGGCAATAATGTACTTTAGAAAACACCCGTACCACCAACCCGGAGTTGTGTGGTTAAGTGGGTTTCAAGCCTATCGACTACACGAGGGTCATTAAGGCTGCATGTCACCTGTTCGCCACCAGTCAAGAATACTTCGAGTCCCAAATATAGGCCTATGAGGGATAAACGAAAACTAAAGTATATATATATATATATATATATATATATATATATAATATAATATATATATATATATATATATATATATATATTTCTGAGATATAAACCCCTTCAATTGTACATGCACTGTTGCTCTCAGTGTGTAGGCTGAACATGAACGTAGGCCTACTGAGGTTCTGATATTTGATATGGCTTCTCCAGACATTTGATGAGTAGTAGGAGTCAATAGGTGAGCGTAGTTCACCTGGATGTGGGGTACCTAAGGACCCTCAGAAGTGGGATACCTGAGGGCCCTCAGGTGCTAGGAGGCGCGGGTGAAGGTGGAATACCTGAGGGCCCTCAGGTGCGATGTGGCTGTGATGAAGGGTCACTAGGAGGGACGGTGGTGTTGCTACCGTGGACCCCTGACGAGGCTGCCTGCAGCTCCCTCAAGATGTCTTCGTTCTCCTTCCTCACTGAAAGTAAACAATTTTGCTACTTAAGAAAAAAGGAAAAAAATCTTAAGATATTCAATATTTTCTCTATTTTCTTATTCATTAAATATAAATAATACTGTTACATAGCATTAAATTGAACAAATTTTTAACATTTTAAAATGTTTTAAATTTAATTTAATATGTATTTCTCTGCATAATATACATAGTGTATATTGTTACATATTAGACCAAAGACAAAGTTATTATTCATTAAAAATACTGTTACATATGGAATAAAAGAAAAAAAATCGCGTTTTGCATTGGATTTATACATTTTATTCCCTGAAAATTAAAAACACTGCTACATGAAGGAAAAATAAAAATATTCTTAATTATAATTATCAAGAAAATTATAAAACTTTTCAATACTCATACGAAATGTTTCTTTTCTTTCTTACTGAATGTTTTCGAAAAATATTGGAACAAAATATATGTGATAAAGGGAAAAATGCCACCTTTGTACTCTTGTTGGTACCACCCCAGGTATCTACCTCACTCTGACCATCTACCAGCGTAGCTACTTACCATTCCAGTCATATAGTACCACCATCACATACCATTCCAGTAATATAGTACCACCATCACATACCATTCCAGTCATATAGTACCACCATCACATACCATTCCAGTAATATAGTACCACCATCACATACCATTCCAGTAATATAGTACCATCACATACCATTCCAGTAATATAGTACCACCATCACATACCATTCCAGCAATATAGTACCACCATCACATACCATTCCAGTCATATAGTACCACCATCACATACCATTCCAGTAGCTACCAGTTCAGTCACCTACCAGTCCAGTAGCTACCAGTTCAGTCACCTACCAGTCCAGCAGCTGCCAGGTCAGTCACCTACCAGTCCAGCAGCTACCAGTTCAGTCACCTACCAGTCCAGTGTACCACTTCAGTCACTACCAGTCCAGAAGCTACCAGTTCAGTCACCTACCAGTCCAGAAGCTACCAGTTCAGTCACTACCAGTCAGAAGCTACCAGTTCAGTCACCTAGCAGTCCAGCAGCTACCAGTTCAGTCACCTACCAGTCCAGTAGCTACCACTTCAGTCACCTACCAGTCCAGTAGCTACCACTTCAGTCACCTACCAGTCCAGAAGCTACCAGTTCAGTCACCTACCAGTCCAGAAGCTACCAGTTCAGTCACCTACCAGTCCAGAAGCTACCAGTTCAGTCACCTAGCAGTCCAGCAGCTACCAGTTCAGTCACCTACCAGTCCAGTAGCTACCACTTCAGTCACCTACCAGTCCAGTAGCTACCACTTCAGTCACCTACCAGTCCAGAAGCTACCAGTTCAGTCACCTACCAGTCCAGCAGCTACCAGTTCAGTCACCTACCAGTCCAGTAGCTACCACTTCAGTCACCTACCAGTCCAGTAGCTACCACTTCAGTCACCTACCAGTCCAGTAGCTACCACTTCAGTCACCTACCAGTCCAGAAGCTACCAGTTCAGTCACCTACCAGTCCAGCAGCTACCAGTTCAGTCACCTACCAGTACAGAAGCTACCAGTTCAGTCACCTACCAGTCCAGAAGCTACCAGTTCAGTCACCTACCAGTCCAGCAGCTACCAGTTCAGTCACCTACCAGTCCAGAAGCTACCAGTTCAGTCACCTACCAGTCCAGAAGCTACCAGTTCAGTCACCTACCAGTCCAGAAGCTACCAGTTCAGTCACCTACCAGTCCAGAAGCTACCAGTTCAGTCACCTACCAGTCCAGCAGCTACCAGTTCAGTCACCTACCAGTCCAGAAGCTACCAGTTCAGTCACCTACCAGTCCAGCAGCTACCAGTTCAGTCACCTACCAGTCCCTACGTAAAAGAAATGCAATACAATGCCTTTACCGCAATATTTTTGTCAATTTTAAAATAAGTGACTCTCTCTCTCTCTTTCTCTTTCACTGTTGATGGTTTTCAAAAACTTTTCTTTCTGTTTTTGTTACATTTCCATTTATAAGTTTGTCGCAGGTTATGGTGTCTCCCATCATCTTGCTCAAGACCATTTGCAAAGGCTTTTAGGTTTCCTTTGAAAGTTATTTCCCCAAAAATTTTGGGATCCATTTCGTTGCACACATAAGTTCTCATATATTTGTGTGTGTATCTGTGGTAAGGTGAAGCGTCATGGACACCTACATGAACGGAAGAAACATAAATTACTGACTGTATGATATGATTCTAGACAAGAGGGGGCTGGAGAGGCACCTAAACTCAGTACCTGACTAGCCAGGACTGTGGTTCGTACGTTGGTTTACGTGCGGCCAGCAGTAACAGCCTGGTTGATCAGGCCCTGATCCACCGCGAGGCCTGGTCCTTGACCAGGTATTACGGGAGACCTTGTATGTTAGAACACTATCGTCCTGACTTCCCTATAGTGTATAGAAATATACCTAGATGGATGAATCTTATTAAAGGCAGCTGGTCGAGTGGTTAGCGCATTGGCCTGTCAGTTTTAAGACTCACTCGCCATGGGTTCAAACCCCACCCATTCCCTGATTAGAACGCTATCGTAGCATTTGCCAGAAATGATTAGGATACCTCTTAACTAATTTTAAGTGCTACAGCAGCTAACTCTATTCATTACAAGGAGTGGTTATAACTATGACCAAAACTTTTAAAAGGGTGGAGGGGTAAGCCACTGGAAGGCCTCGGTCAGATGACCAAAAGCTCCAACGGCGGATCATCATCTGACCAAGACAGGAAACACTTGTCCTGTTTCCTGATAAACCTTCCCTAACCGTGTTCCGTACTCGATCACTAGTGCACTCAGCTCACACACTGAGGTCCGGAGTTCGAATCTCCGGTCCAGGTGGAAAACATTAGGACGTATTTCCATAAGACACCACCTGGGCGTTAGTCGACTGGTGTGGGTCGCATCCTGGGGCAAAACTGACCTAATTTGCTCGAAATGCTCTGAACATCACAAGCACCTTTCTATATAGTAGTATGTCATTAATGTCAGCTAGGCCTATATACCCTGTACATGTATTAACCTATCCTAACTGCAAGGAGTGGTGGAGGCTTGTGAGGCTCGATACTCTATCCGGTAATCTCCTCTGAAATGAGTGATAGCCTCCTTCCTTCTGGACCGGGAGGAAGGACGTAATCTCACACCATTGTCACGACCACAGCAAGAACAAGGCGAAGAACTTTGTCTCGTGCATCATTACCAAGAAAATTGCTGTAGTTTTCCTGTATGTTGAACTCTGCAGTCGTCTGTCTGCAGCTGCTCTGCAGTTACTAAAATTATCTCCAAATAAAGTTTTTTCAGCATCTTCCGTTTATTTATATTTTCATTTAATTCTTCGTCAAGAGTGAAGAGCTTGTTCCAGCTTCACTGTTCTCCCAGGCAGTGAAGAGCTTGTTCCAGCTTCACTGTTCTCCCAGGCAGTGAAGAGCTTGTTCCAGCTTCACTGTTCTCCCAGGCAGTGAAGAGCTTGTTCCAGCTTCACTGTTCTCCCAGGCAGTGAAGAGCTTGTTCCAGCTTCACTGTTCTCCCAGGCAGTGAAGAGCTTGTTCCAGCTTCACTGTTCTCCCAGGCAGTGAAGAGCTTGTTCTCGCTTCACTGTTCTCCCAGGCAGTGAAGAGCTTGTTCTCGCTTCACTGTTCTCCCAGGCAGTGAAGAGCTTGTTCCAGCTTCACTGTTCTCCCAGGCAGTGAAGAGCTTGTTCCAGCTTCACTGTTCTCCCAGGCAGTGAAGAGCTTGTTCCAGCTTCACTGTTCTCCCAGGCAGTGAAGAGCTTGTTCCAGCTTCACTGTTCTCCCAGGCAGTGAAGAGCTTGTTCTCGCTTCACTGTTCTCCCAGGCAGTGAAGAGCTTGTTCTCGCTTCACTGTTCTCCCAGGCAGTGAAGAGCTTGTTCCAGCTTCACTGTTCTCCAGGCAGTGAAGAGCTTGTTCCAGCTTCACTGTTCTCCCAGGCAGTGAAGAGCTTGTTCTCGCTTCACTGTTCTCCCAGGCAGTGAAGAGCTTGTTCCAGCTTCACTGTTCTCCCAGGCAGTGAAGAGCTTGTTCCAGCTTCACTGTTCTCCCAGGCAGTGAAGAGCTTGTTCCAGCTTCACTGTTCTCCCAGGCAGTGAAGAGCTTGTTCCAGCTTCACTGTTCTCCCAGGCAGTGAAGAGCTTGTTCTCGCTTCACTGTTCTCCCAGGCAGTGAAGAGCTTGTTCTCGCTTCACTGTTCTCCCAGGCAGTGAAGAGCTTGTTCCAGCTTCACTGTTCTCCCAGGCAGTGAAGAGCTTGTTCCAGCTTCACTGTTCTCCCAGGCAGTGAAGAGCTTGTTCTCGCTTCACTGTTCTCCCAGGCAGTGAAGAGCTTGTTCCAGCTTCACTGTTCTCCCAGGCAGTGAAGAGCTTGTTCCAGCTTCACTGTTCTCCCAGGCAGTGAAGAGCTTGTTCTCGCTTCACTGTTCTCCCAGGCAGTGAAGAGCTTGTTCTCGCTTCACTGTTCTCCCAGGCAGTGAAGAGCTTGTTCCAGCTTCACTGTTCTCCCAGGCAGTGAAGAGCTTGTTCCAGCTTCACTGTTCTCACAAGCAGTGAAGAGCTTGTTCCAGCTTCACTGTTCTCCCAGGCAGTGAAGAGCTTGTTCTCGCTTCACTGTTCTCCCAGGCAGTGAAGAGCTTGTTCTCGCTTCAATGTTCTCCCAGGCAGTGAAGAGCTTGTTCCAGCTTCACTGTTCTCCCAGGCAGTGAAGAGCTTGTTCCAGCTTCACTGTTCTCCCAGGCAGTGAAGAGCTTGTTCCAGCTTCACTGTTCTCCCAGGCAGTGAAGAGTCATAGCCTCAAATGTTACCAAACACTCAAATAAGCAAGAGTTGTATAATTTAACTTCATCGCTTAATTTACACAGTAAAGAGTTGTACATTTAAGATGGAAGGTTTATACTTGTTGATGGAAGGTTTATACTTGTTGATGGAAGGTTTATACTTGTTGATGGAAGGTTTATACTTGTTGATGGAAGGTTTATACT